ATCATCATCATCATCTTCTTCCTTCTTCTTCTTCTTCTTCTTCTTCTTCTTCTTCTCCTTCTTCTCCTTTTTCTTCTTCTTCTCCTTCTTATTCTTATTCTTCTCCTTCTTCTTCGTTTCTTTTGTCTATCTTTGGGATCCGTAAAGTTTTCGCTTTTTTCTCCTAACGAACAGAAAATAAAAGAAAACGTAATTCACGAATCTGAAAAAAAGGGGACGAGAAAATTAGACAAAAAAAAAAAAGAAAGAAGAGAACAAAAGCATAATTAGGATAAAACGAATAAACGAGAGAAAGCGAGAATGCGAGAGAAAGGACACACCTCGAGGAAAGACAATGGCCCTCTCCTTTCTTCTCCCCTCGCTTCCCCCCCCCCCCCCCCTCCTCAACTCCTTTATCATCGCCTCTCCCCTCTCCTCCCCTCCCCTCCCCTCACTCAGGCAACCTCCTCACTCAAGCCCGCCCACGCCCACACTGGACCGTGGGCGCGTGGCATGACAAGCCTGCTCAATAGAGTGTACTTACGCCCATCTATGTCAGTTGCCACCTCGCCATGAGTCCTTCCGAGAGAGGGGGGGGCAGACTGGGGGACAGACGAGAGAGAGAGAGAGAGAGAGAGAGAGAGAGAGAGAGAGAGAGAGAGAGAGAGAGAGAGAGAGAGAGAGAGAGAGAGAGAGAGAAGAGAGAGGCAGAACAGACAGACAGACAGACAGACAGACAGAGACAGATAAACAGACAGACACATAGACACACAGACACAAAGACAGACAGTCAGATACACAGTCAGACACACAGACAGCAGACAGACTGACACACGCACACATACAGCCCACAAACGGAGGGAAAGCGAGAGACCAAGAACGAGAGGAATAGGCACCGTCAGTGGCACCATGCATGAAGTGAGGGAAAAGCTTATGGCACAGGCACCGCCGCCGACTGATTGCGAGAGATGGCATAGCCCGGCGCCCCTCAGAGAACGTGAATGCAAAGCGGAGAAGGAGAGGAAGAGGGAAGGGAGGGGGCGAGAGAGAGGGGAGGGGAGGACGAGGGGAAGGGGAGGACAAGGAGGAGGGAGGGGGGAAGGGAGGGGACAAGGAGGAGGGGGAGAGGAAGAGGGGAAGGGAGGGGACAAGGAGGAGGAGGATAGGAAGAGGAAAGGAGGGGGAAGAGGGGATTGGAGGGGGAGAGGAGGAGGAGGGAAGAGGGGGGATTGGAGGGGACGAAGAAGAGGGGAGGGAGGGGGAGAAGAAGCAAAAGGAGATACCCCAGAGAGCTTGCAAATGCAGTCTGTAGATTGCAATTTCCCTCCGTCCTGCCTTAACAACGCGATATCCAACTTGCTCTCTCCAGCTCATTATGCTTTTCCTATGCTGGCTCTTCTCTCTCTCTTCTCTCTCTCTCTCTCTCTCTCTCTCTCTCTCTCTCTCTCTCTCTCTCTCTCTCTCTCTCTCTCTCTCTCTCTCTCTCTCTCTCTCTCTCTGTCTCATCTAGAATTACAATTCCTTCATTCACAAAATGGTAATTTCCATTGTTAATTTCATTTTAGCTACCACATTTATCTTTACTCTATCATCATTATTTCACCGTTATCATCATAATTCTCATCATCATTTTTCTACGTAAACACCTCGAAAACATCACCGTCTAGAGCGTATCCACAAAACCGCGTGCGTCGCGTCCGGACACTGACCAGCACGCGAGATTCCTCTATCATTAGCTTGAATTAACAGCTCGTGTGGGAGGAGGGAAAGGGTTAGGGGTTGGAGTTGGGATTAAGGAGAGGGGGGGAGAGGGGGAGAGGGGGAGAGGGGGGAAAGAGTGAATTAAGGGTGAGGAAGGGCGAGGAGACACGAGAGTTGGAGCGTCAGTGTGTTGGTGTAGGATGACAATTGTTTAACACGTCACCGCAGTGGACACAGCTCACTCGCTATTATTGTTTTGTTTTGCTCTTCAGTGGTGTCGTCTGTCTTGCTTGTTTTCTTGTCCTTCTTCTTCCTCGTCTCCTCTTTCCTCCTCGTCCTCGTCTTCTCCTCCTTCTCTTCTCTCTCTCTCTCTCTCTCTCTCTCTCTCCTCTCTCTCTCTCTCTCTCTCTCTCTCTCTCTCTCTCTCATCTCTCTCTCTCTCTCTCTCTCTCTCTCTCTCTCTCCTCTCCCTCCCTTCCTCCCTCCCTCTATCTATCTATCTATCCATCTATCTACCTATCAATATATCTCTATCTATCTATCTCCCTCTTTCTTTCCCTTCCTCTATTTATAATATCATAGCGGTTTATCTCGCCTTCGCTCCCTCTCTTATTCTTTCCCCTTAGTCCCCTCCCTCCTCTCCCCCATCCCCTGTGGTCACCCTCGGGCGCCTGGAGGCAAAGGACAGGCAGGATAGAACAGGGAGTGGGGGAGACAGGACTCAGGATGAATATTTAGCCAGAGAGAATCATGTTATTGGCTTAACTTTATCATATATTAAATTGTCTTGTTACATCAGCCTATTTATTTCCTTTTTTTT